CACACACACACACAAAAAAAAAAAAAAGGTACACCCGGCACACCGCTGCTATCAGCATATTCCTGATAAACTTTATCAAACAATACATCGGCGTTTATTAATATACGTAATTGTCTTTGTATATAATATCAGGGTTGGACCGTTCTGACTATATAGTTGGCACCTTTCTCATTATTGACAACATCACCTGATTGTTGACAAATTTGGAGCGGTATAGATGGCCTATTAAATGATATATAAAGCGTGCGCAACGGCTTTGGTAGCAGTAGAGCGGGGCGGTCGAGGTGTAGGGTGCGGGGCGCTGTGCCCACTCTGGGCGCCTATACCATGGCAATGGCTTCGAAAGAGATGTACAACGTCTTCAGTGAGAACTTTTTAACGTGTCATATATGTCTGGGGGAATATAAAGACCCGAGAGTGCTCCCCTGTTACCACACATTCTGCCTGGAATGCATTGCTGACCATGCAGCCAAGAATGGTGTCCAGAACAAGTTCTCCTGTCCCGTGTGTCGCCAAGAGGCCCCCGTACCGCCAGGTGGGTTAGAAACTCTCGTAAAAAACCTATTCCTAAGAAAAGTAACAGACTTCATGGAAAATCAGAAAGCGCCAGGGGGGAGACTTTGTGAGTATTGTAAGCATAAAGAGGCCACTTTGCTGTGCCAAGGTTGTCCCAAAACCAACCAACTGTGTGCTACATGCCGTGAATTGCATGACACCATCCCTGCATTAACTGGACATCACCTCGTGCCTCTGTCACAAGGCGACTTCTCAGTTAACCCAGCTAACATACGAGACCAGTTACATCACGTTTTTGATAAATCTCAATACTGCAACAAACATGACGGCGAGTTGTTGACATTCTATTGTGAAGATGATGACACAGCGGCATGTAGAGATTGTATTTTGGAAAATCACAGTAAACACGAATTTGCAAAAATTGGAGATGTGGTGAAAGTTCAAAAGGAGTTAATACAAGAAAAACTGATATGTCTCCCAAGTGCAAAACTGTCTCGTTTTGAAAAGGCAGAGAAAGCCATTGTTAGAACGGAAGAGAAGCTGACAGAAAATCAGACAAAGGTTCTTCGTTTGGTGGATTCTCAAAAAGTAGCTATGACAAACGAGATAAAGGAAAACAGTAAAACATTCGAAAGAGAACTCAGTGCTTATTACCAACAAGTAGAGAAAGACGTACGTCAACAGACTGACGCGTATTTAACAAGTGTAAAACACCATTTGGAAACGTACGTAACAAAAGTACAGTTCGATTACATCGAAATGCAAAGAGTTATAGATGCCAAAAGCAACGATATAACGGCAGAGGTTAAGGCACTCACCTCCACGCAGGTGAAGACTTTAACAGCCGAAAAAGACAAGCTAGAAATGAACAAGATTTCCATTCAGAGCATTCGTGATTTCGCTCAGCAGCTCACAGACACCGGTTCTGACATCGAGGTGATGACCCACTCTAAAAAAATCCAAGCTAGAATTCAGGAGTTAGAGACACTTGAACCAGTCTTTGATACCAAGATCACCGATATCACATTTTCACCCGGAGAATCAAATATGGACCTTGTGCTACAGTTTCCTGAAATCCCTGAGCCAAAGCCGCTGTCCATCAAAACGGGGTCCATTACGGCCAAAACATATCAGGGTCCCTTGGACGCACATTTTGGAAGTTTGAAAGAAAAGACAGCGTACTATCCCGAGCTGATGGAATTTCAGAAATTCGCATGGCTTGGTACGGCAGAGCGAAATAAATGTTTTCATGTTAAGCGTGGCATATGGGATATCCAGTGCACAGATGACGGTTGTATTTTAGTTGGACACGCTTGTACAGTGTCCGTATTCTCCAGCACAGATCAATGTAATCGTGAGATCAATATAGAGGGAGGGGTCAAATGTATCACCACCGTCGGAAACGACAGATTTGTGGTCACATGTCAAGATAAATACTGTAGACTGTATTCAACATCAGGTCATTTTACACGGTGCTTTGGTCAGGGTGATATGTCTAACCCCTGGGGTGTCATTATGGACCGTGCAAATAGTAAGGTGTACGTGTGTGATAGGGGTGCACAGTGCGTCTGTGTGTACTGCATGAAATCTTTTCAACTTGTTAACAGAATTGCTATCCCAATGTGCAGTAAAGGTCCACTGCGCTGTGCATACCATTACGACATCGATGCAATCATAGTCAGCGACAACAGTGCCCACTGTGTGTATGCAGTGACACCCCAGGGTGACGTCATGTTCCAATACGGTACACGAGGTCAGAGTGGAAGTGGAGACGGACAACTGAGTTTCCCAGAGGGATTGTGCGTAGATAAGTTTGGACACATATTCATAGCTAACCACGGTAATCACAGGGTGGTTGTCCTTGGTTCAGACGGAACATTTCTACGTAACATTTTGACAAAGAGTGACGACATTGAATATCCTGTGTCCGTTGATGTCAACAGTAACGGGGAGCTTGTTGTTGGCACTTATCGAGGTGAAATATCCACGTACAAGTATACAGAATAGCAGTGGCTCATATGACTTGACACTAATGATGATTGGATTGTGATTGATATCGCTGAGAAAAGTGTAATGAACAGTTCAACTATGTTTCTTATCTGACATATAGTTATGAAAGTGTGGGGAAGTTCTAAAAAGAATATATTCAATGTACAATGTCAAAATGGTCAAAAAGGTTGCCCCACCTCTAGTTTCATGTGCTTTATTTTACAAACGATCACCTCGCAGGTGTAAATTGTTATGAAAAGTGACTTTAATTTCAGATAAAAATTATTATTATTACTATATATAGTCCAAAATCCAACGTATGTTCCATAGACTTTACAGAATTGATACCGTATGACACCAATCTTGCCTTACAAGCCTTAAAAAGAAGGCGGTCACCTGATCTAAGATTTCGTGATGGTATATAATGTGAAACTAGCTCATTTAAATAAGAGGGTGCAAGCATATTAAATACTGCATGTGCAAATGTTAAAAGTTATAATAAAATGCGTGCTCGCACAGAGAGCCAGTGCAACATCATTAAAAGGGGGTGATGTGGTTGTCTTTTGGAGTGCTAGTCAGTAGGCGAGCAGATATGTTCTGTACACGTTGAAGCCGTTTGATATGAGATGAGACTTGCACAATGCTGGCACATCTAGACATGCTTAGACTGCGGGCAATGTTCTTAATGTGTGGTTGAGATATTACTAGGAATTCAGTTTCCTCGTCATTGATCTTCAGTTTGTTTCTTATCATCCACCCCCTTAGGTCAGAAATACAGCTGGTTATTTTAGTAACTGATGTTCCAGGGTCTCTAATATTGCAGGATGTGTAAAGCTGAGTGTCACCAGCATATATGTAATAACCAATCTCGTGAAAACGAAGGATTGCCCCAAGTGGTGAAGTATAAATACAGAATATGATACCATAACTGATATGATTAATGGTGCAGAAAAGACAAAATAGCGGTGAAGATATCCATATTTTTAAAATACCTTTTGTTCACATTCATTACACACACACCTTTAAATCCGAGATGTCACTGTGGTTTCCATGGAGGTAAAGAAATGTCCATTGAATTGCAAATACTTCACCTAATGTCTCCAAATTTACCCACAATTAGAATTAGGGTGTGCTTGTTAAAGACCAAGTGTCTAATAGCGTGTTCAGGGCGGATCCAGCTTAATTTGAAGACGGGGTCCTATTATATGACACGCCTCATATATCAGCCACTGTGATGGTACTAAAAAATTAACTTGGTACATGAGTCGGCCAATTACACTGTATTAACAAAATACTTCGAAAACCTCTATAGACTGTCATTCTACTGTGTGTGGCGGACTGGTCGGTTTGCTAATTGGCTAGTATAAGTCTTTCTCTGGACTGGCTGATTATATAGTCTGAGTGCGGACTGACATATTCTACACTGAGTGGCCGACGGGCTGACTATCTCGGTGACTGACAGGCTTTCAATGCGAAAATATTGCCAAATTTAAGGCCGCATTCATAAACAGCAGATCGTCGGCCTAACAAACCCGCGGATCAACTATGATCCACCCGACTTGAAAGCAATACCACAATATCCTCTAATAATGCTCTCCCTGCCCACCACGCGGGCAATCCCTGCAGTGGCCTGGCAATTAAATCTCGGAGCCGTTTTAATCCAGGTTTAATTGCCAGGCCCCTGCAGGGATGGCGCGTGTGGTAGGCGGGGAGACCATCAGGGGATAACGCAGCATTGCTTTCAAATGGGGTCTGCCATATTTGATCCACTGACGAGTTAGTCCGCGGATCGTTCATTGCGAATGCGACCTAAGTTAACATCTTAAGTTTTGCTTTTTAATATCACGCCAGGACGAATGGCCCCAGCATCCGCCTTCCCCGGGACAGGTGCGTGTCGTGGTCCCAGACATCGCCGGCTTACTGCCCGTATACAACTACAACGAATACGACGGCTACACGGTGAAGACCATCCCCAACTGTAGCGACGAGGAGATAGAGAGGCACATCGAGATGACATCCAGAGAAATACGGAGAGCTGTGACCGCGTGGGGATGTAACCAGGTGAGAGATGTGACGTCACAGTTGTGGAATCACCTGCTTTTGGTAGCGGTATAACGAAGCTGAGGGTCCATGTAACAGAAAGTCCGCCCTCCAGTTTTGCTTTCATGACTAGGGTATAGCCTGACCTAATTGGGCCAAAATCTACCTGTATAAATGAATGGGAAGGGGACTCTCTTTCATGGGGGACTGTCTGTCACGTTACACCTGGGTATCAGATATTGCTATAGATTGAATTTACCCGTCAAACAGAATTTTCACGGGAAAAAATGTTCCTACTCCCGAACCATTGTTCAACCCCACCCTGCATTTGAATTTGATGTTTCATTTCTAAATCACTGGCTATAGTTAGTAAGGACTAAACTGGGATGAATGAGCAGTTTTGCAGGATATGAAGATATAGAAAAATTTTCAGACGCGTACAGTATACCTTAAAAACGTCCACTGTCAGTATCCCTCTGTTGATTCCATTTCGAAGGAGACGTGGTGGTAATAGAGATTAAAGTTCCCAGGAATCTCTGAAACTCAGGGTTGGTGAGGAGGAAGCTTTCTTTTTCGCAAAGTGTCTTTCCATATTGTCAAGATAAATAATTAAAATACAAAAAGAAGCTTGGTGTCTCTGAATGCCTTTTTTGGTTTAAAACATACGTTGACTTTACATGCTATTTCTGGCTTAATAACCTCATCTTTCAGGTTCTTTCCAACCACGCCCTGCTGTCTCCCGTAAACACGACGAGGGCGCTGGAAGGGACCAACGTCCCCTTTAATATCAAGATCCACGGTAGCGCTCTGTCATTTGTCATCAAACCCTTCCCGAGATACAAGAAATATGCGCTGGAAGCAATGGCGAAGTGTAACAAGATAATTGCCGGAACAAGACACGTTGTCAAGCAAGTTTTAGATATTTTCAAAGAAGAACTTGACCATGACCCTAAGGGTGACCTTGACCTAAAAAGGAAACTGGTCATCGTCCCCCCTGGAATGGATCCAACAGTGTTTTCACCGCTGCGGGATAGCATAAAAAATCAGGAATCATTTCGCCGCGAAGTTGAAAACCACATTGCCGAAAAAGGCGATGGACGGCGAGCAGAGAAGATCAATTTTCCAGCCCTGTCAAGCTCAAGCAGTGAGGCGCACTCGAAGCTGGTGGAGCTGGGGACAACCTACGATCAACGAGTCGTGGATGCAGATCTGTTGAGTCGGCTTCCAACTTTTTCTCCTGACGAACCTGTCATCATGTATATTGGACATTTCCTCCATACCAAGGGAGTGGCTGAGATTCTCTTGTCTTTTCCTGCCATTGTCAAAAGATTGCCAAAAGCACGGTTGCTTTTGGTTGGATACGGAACTTTTAGGGAACACTTGATGTTGATGATAAATGCAATGACTACAGGTAGGAAGGAAACGTCCGTATTTGTCACAATCAATCAATCTGAATATTAGAGAACACTGGAATTTCGCCTCTCAACTATAATTTCGCTTCCTCCTTTTCCAGTATTACACAAAGATACGCTGACTGTAGAGAAATGAATTTTGTCACCTCGATTATTGTGGACTCGTCTTTTACTGAAGTCGACCATATTTTTCTCTAAATTCAAATTAAAGTTACTGTGAACAACCAGTCCCAGGCGTAGAGACACTTCGTCGCTGTAAGACTATTGCTGCTATTACTTTTTGTAATGTTATCATTATTTTGTCATTAGTAATAAACAAGTGCCTACTCCCTTTGTTTTAAAGGGGACACGGGTATATTCAATAGAACAAACAATACCTTGAAAAATGTCCTTTCAAACGAGATATATACAAATTTTCCCTTTTTACACCCATTTGTTATTCAGCCTTTGTAATGTTTATTATTTCTTTTAAGGGGACATAAATCTCTTCAAGGCAGCAGCTCACAGCCCAGATGAGCGCGGTAAACCCTTTCTTGACTCCAGTATAGAAATCGACAAGTACTTCAGACAACTTGGTGGGTTAATTTTCTTGCTGACTAAAGTTGACAGCATTTAAATGGGAATTGGTGAAGAAAAAAAAACACTGAAACACAGATTTTAATCTAAAAATTACAAAAGAGAAATTGTACAAAAATTGTATTGGAATCTTCAAACCACACCTCGACATTTACATGTAAAGGCATAGTTCGACTTTTAATTTGTATTTGAGAAAGATATTTAAAGAACGAACCCCGAGCCAAGACATCTTTTGAGTTCTTTGAAACCTGTTCATGTATCTGCATGCGCGGTTTATGTTTTATTATATTCGTTTATTTATTTGTTTTGGGAGACTGGTTTTTGTTACTGTCTCAACTAACGCATTCTATCGCATTTTTTTCTTCGGTCTAGTGTCAGCCATATATCGCGTTATATGGTCAAGTTTGTTTAGGTTTAATAGGCCAAATTTGTCATTAATATTTTAAACTATTATCCACAATATTTCCAGAGCCCTCTGAAGTATCCCGCATCACTGTCACTGGATATTTAAACCACACGGAACTCGGTTTCATTCTACCTCTTGCCTCGGTTCTGGTTGTGGCGTCCAAATGGAGTGAAGCATTCGGAATGGTTGCAGTCGAGGCTATGTCTGCCGGCGTATTGCCACTCTGTGTGTACCACTCTGGTACGTGTATGTTTTTATAATAATAATAATAATAATAATGGCAATAAAGTTCGTCTCAGCGTTGTATAAAATATAATGATTTAATATTGAACCTTAAAGTTCTAAAACACTGGCTTTCATGTACCACTTAAAATTACCAATTAAGCTATCTATTTCTAAAACAAATCAATTTAGGTTGACACACTCTTATTTCATATATAATAATTATGTTTGTCCTTGTGTGTGTGTATATTATAGACATAAAAACAATATACTAGTACACGTAGGCCTCACTGTTTCATCCTTGATGAACATATGTTGCGAAAAATGTATTTAAATTACATAGATAAACAGCTGATGATATTAAGGCCACCTCGCTGCGTTTATTTTCACAGGATTGGTAGACGTCTTAGACAGAGTTAAAGAAACAGATCCAGAATTAGAATCTCTAATGCACATGGAAATTAAAAATGGTGGAGATTTTGAGTTAGGATCAGGAGCGTCCTTTATGGAGGTTGGGACTTTGTAGCGTTTCTTTATTTCGATATTTTGATTTGAATATCAATGAGTAAAAGAACAATAAACGTTCTAAAACGCAAAGGATAGTTTCCATTAATACCTTTTATGATGTTATGTCCAGTCCACAAAGAAAGGAAAAGAGAAACCTGTTGGCTAACTTTGTGTGGTTTATAACATGTACTTATGTATAACGGACATCCATCTTAGATTAAGAATGTTTGCATTATATACACCATGAAAAAATATTTTAGTGTGTTATTTTCTTGCAATTTCAGGTCTTCACTCCTAAGGTACTAGAAATCTTGCAACACTTATTTCCCGCCACTGGTGGGAAGGAGATACGCGCGTTAACATCCGAGAGATTACGAGAAGTGGCAGTGAGCACGTGGTCCTGGGACGGAATATGTAAAAAGCTTCTTGAACTATGAAGTTGTGCATGTCGAGTTTTGAATTGAAATAATTACATGAAAAAAGGCTGTACATCCGGATGTGCGTTGTGAAAATAAATAAAATGTTTTTTTTTTTGTCCGCTTAAGTAATACTCTTTGAAGATGAATCATCTAAGTGCACAATTTTGATACAGTATTCAATGGGGTATAACAGCGTTGAGGGTCTGCCGCTAGATGGCGTGGGGGTGAAATATTGAATTTTTAATAGTATTTGAATTTTTACTTATCTTGGCAGGCACCATGTTTACACCCAAAAGGCGTGGTTAAGAGAATAGAATGCTTCCCCAAAAGCTGCTTGCTAAATTAGAGACTATTTTATCAGCTGATTAAATGGAGAGAAATTCCATACTTCGAATCTCCAATTGCAGAGGCTAGCTTACCCGATCTAGCTATGTACTAACTGATTATGCAAATGTTCCCTTTTTTTCGTTTCTTAACTATCAAATAAATAAATAAATAAATAAGAACTTAACGTCTTTTAACAGCTAACCTCCAGTATTCTTTCAAAAATACCGAAGGTATGAGACACTTTCCGAAAAAAAAAAAAAAACTAAATCATCAAGTATCAATCATCATCGTCATATTTCTTATTCACGCCCCCCTGGTAACTTACAGTACTTAAGTAAAGTAGGAGAAATTTTGTGGTCCATAATGCTGTTCCTGTTGCTTTGCGGGGAGAGGGGGGGGGGGGGCAGACAATTATATTAAACTATTATACTATTATATTAAACTGATTACAAACGAGAATCCCCACTGAGATAGATCGATCCTGCTAGTACACTGCACGATAACTTCTATTCTGAACACAGTCATAAGTTTCAAAGTCTGAATTGGGAAAATATTTAGCTTTGCAGAATATGTAGACATAAAGAATATGACGTTGGGAAATTTTGTAACGCGTCCAGTATATTTTTAATTTACAGTCGGAGGTGCTCTGTTCTTAGCTACGTCTGTACATGTTGTGTATTTCATATCGTGATAGGCCTTTGTGAACTTAGCATCTACTCTTATGCACTAATTTAGAAACTGGGCATACTATCTGGATATAAGGACAATATTTTACAATTATCGGTATTTATTTTATATTGAATTTGAAAATGAAAAACATGACCCTAAGGCTGAGACTCTCTTTGTTGTTTCAAACTATTTGTTTCAGACTTGCTAGCTGTGATTGGTGCAATCGCCACTGAGTAATAACATGATTGTGGTGGGTGAGATAGAGAAGCACACCTAGCACACTCTCTGGAACATCCACATCTGGAGTATCACAATCGTACAATGATATATTAGATAAACCCTCGAGAACTTTCCTAAATCTTTTAACAACTTAAAGAAGATATGGTAAAACAACAAACTTGTTTCATGTCAAAAAAAAATTATAAGTTTTAATTTCACAACGCTTAACACTCTGAGCTTAAAATTATAACAAACATTTAAATCACAATTCAATATATTTATTTTATTTATAAATATCAAGTTGATATTGGCTTAATAATACACACATGTACATCAATAATATACAAAACAAAATATTTACATACAAAGTTGTGCTCTAAAATTTTCTTCCTCTTCCAGAAACATCAACAACACCTTTCATCAGTGTAGAACCTGTTAAAGATCAGTGGTTTTCCATATCCCATGATCTGCTCATGCAGAATTACTAACAGTTAAAGTTATTGATATTATGCATATTTTTCACAAATACGAAGATTTTATTAAGACAAAAGAGGAGTACAATAAATCAATGTTCAGAAGGAAAAAGTCTCTCATTCTTTACAATGGTTTTGGTCACTTAATAAAACAATTTATAATTATTGTTTCAAAAAATAATTACTGAANTTGTCATCGTCCCCCCTGGAATGGATCCAACAGTGTTTTCACCGCTGCGGGATAGCATAAAAAATCAGGAATCATTTCGCCGCGAAGTTGAAAACCACATTGCCGAAAAAGGCGATGGACGGCGTGCAGAGAAGATCAATTTTCCAGCCCTGTCAAGCCCCAGCAGTGAGGCGCACTCGAAGCTGGTGGAGCTGGGGACAACCTACGATCAACGAGTCGTGGATGCAGATCTGTTGAGTCGGCTTCCAACTTTTTCTCCTGACGAACCTGTCATCATGTATATTGGACATTTCCTCCATACCAAGGGAGTGGCTGAGATTCTCTTGTCTTTTCCTGCCATTGTCAAAAGATTGCCAAAAGCACGGTTGCTTTTGGTTGGATACGGAACTTTTAGGGAACACTTGATGTTGATGATAAATGCAATGACTACAGGTAGGAAGGAAACGTCCGTATTTGTCACAATCAATCAATCTGAATATTAGAGAACACTGGAATTTCGCCTCTCAACTATAATTTCGCTTCCTCCTTTTCCAGTATTACACAAAGATACGCTGACTGTAGAGAAATGAATTTTGTCACCTCGATTATTGTGGACTCGTCTTTTACTGAAGTCGACCATATTTTTCTCTAAGTTCAAATTAAAGTTACTGTGTACAACCAGTCCCAGGTGTAGAGACACTTCGTCGCTGTAAGACTATTACTTCTATTACTTTTTGTAATGTTATCATTATTTTGTCATTAGTTATAAAATAATGCCTACTCCCTTTGTTTTAAAGGGGACACGGGTATATTCAATAGAACAAACAATACCTTGAAAATGTCCTTTCAGACGAGATATATACAAATTTTCCCTTTTTACACCCATTTGTTATTCAACCTTTGTAATGTATATTATTTCTTTTAAGGGGACATAAATCTCTTCAAGGCAGCAGCTCACAGCCCAGATGAACGCGGTAAACCCTTTCTTGACTCCAGTATAAAAATCGACAAGTACTTCAGACAACTTGGTGGGTTAATTTTCTTGCTGACTAAAGTTGACAGCATTTAAATGGGAATTGGTGAAGAAAAAAAAAAAAAACACTGAAACACAGATTTTAATCTAAAAATTACAAAAAAGAAATTGTATAAAAATTGTATTGGAATCTTCAAACCACACCTCGACATTTACATGTAAAGTTTGACTATTAATAGTTTGACTTTTAATTTGTATTTGAGAATGATATTTAAAGAACGAACCCCGAGCCAAGACATCCTTTGAGTTCTTTGAAACCCGTTCATGTATCTGCATGCACAGTTTATGTTTTATTTTATTCGTTTATTTATTTGTTTTGGGAGACTGGTTTTTGTTACTGTCTCAACTAACGCATTCTATCACATTTTTTTCTTCGGTCGAGTGTCAGCCATATATCGCGTTATATGGTCAAGTTTGTATAGGTTTAATAGGCCAAATTTGTCATTAATATTTTAAACTATTATCCACAATATTTCCAGAGCCCTCTGAAGTATCCCGCATCACTGTCACTGGGTATTTAAACCACACGGAACTCGGTTTCATTCTACCTCTTGCCTCGGTTCTGGTTGTGGCGTCCAAATGGAGTGAAGCATTCGGAATGGTTGCAGTCGAGGCTATGTCTGCCGGCGTATTGCCACTCTGTGTGTACCACTCTGGTACGTGTATGTTTTTATAATAATAATAATAATAATAATGGCAATAAAGTTCGTCTCAGCGTTGTATATAATATAATGATTTAATATTGAACCTTAAAGTTCTAAAACTCTGGCTTTCATGTACCACTTAAAATTACCAATTAAGCTATCTATTTCTAAAACAAATCAATTTAGGTTGACACACTCTTACTTCATATATAATAATTATGTTTGTGCTTGTGTGTGTGTGTGTGTATCATAGACATAAAAACAATATACTAGTACACGTAGGCCTCACTGTTTCATCCTTGATGAACATATGTTGCGAAAAATGTATTTAAATTACATAGATAAACAGCTGATGATATTAAGGCCACCTCGCTGCGTTTATTTTCACAGGATTGGTAGACGTCTTAGACAGAGTTAAAGAAACAGATCCAGAATTAGAAGCTCTAATGCACATGGAAATTAAAAATGGTGGAGATTTTGAGTTAGGATCAGGAGCGTCCTTTATGGAGGTTGGGACTTTGTAGCGTTTCTTTATTTCGATATTTTGATTTGAATATCAATGAGTAAAAGAACAATAAACGTTCTAAAACGCAAAGCATAGTTTCCATTAATACCTTTTATGATGTTATGTCCAGTCCACAAAGAAAGGAAAAGAGAAACCTGTTGGCTAACTTTGTGTGGTTTATAACATTTACTTATGTATAACGGACATCCATCTTAGATTTAGAATGTTTGCATTATATACACCATGAAAATATTTTTTAGTGTGTTATTTTCTTGCAATTTCAGGTCTTCACTCCTAAGGTACTAGAAGTCTTGCAACACTTATTTCCCGCCACTGGTGGGAAGGAGATACGCGCGTTAACATCCGAGAGATTACGAGAAGTGGCAGTGAGCACGTGGTCCTGGGACGGAATATGTAAAAAGCTTCTTGAACTATGAAGTTGTGCATGTCGAGTTTTGAATTGAAATAATTACATGAAAAAAGGCTGTACATCCGGATGTGCGTTGTGAAAATAAATGAAAATGTTTTTTTTTCGCTTAAGTAATACCCTTTGAAGATGAATCATCTAAGTGCACAATTTTGATACAGTATTCAATGGGGTATAACAGCGTTGAGGGTCTGCCGCTAGATGGCGTGGGGGTGAAATATTGAATTTTTAATATTATTTGAAATTTTACTTATCTTGGCAGGCACCATGTTTACACCCAAAAGGCGTGGTTAAGAGAATAGAATGCTTCCCCAAAAGCTGCTTGCTAAATTAGAGACTTTTATCAGCTGATTAAATGGAGAGAAATTCCATACTTCGAATCTCCAATGGGGAATACCAGCCCGCTTGGCGCCAGGTGTCGCTAGTGTGAATTCAGTCCTTCCTAGGTCGCCATGTTGGATATTGTATACGTTGGACTGTGGTACTGCCCTTAATAAACATGCCTCAGTATTGTTGTGTACCTGAATGTCAAAGTCGGCAAGGTGGGCATAATTTTCTTGAGGATTCAGGGCTTCGTTTGAAGTGAAGGGTTGCCCATGTCAACACACCTTCCATGTTAAAGGGTCAGTTACAACTTGACCCAGGAACAGTAATTAGGCCCCTAAAGATAGAGCAGAGGCTAGCTTACCCGATCTAGCTATGTACTAACTGATTATGCAAATGTTCCCTTTTTTTCGTTTTTTTTACTATCAAATAAATAAATAAATAAATAAATAAATAAATAAAAACTTAACGTCTTTTAACAGCTAACCTCCAGTATTCTTTCAAAAATACCGAAGGTATGAGACACTTTCCGGAAACAAACAAACAAACTAAATCATAAAGTATCAATCATCATCGTCATATTTCTTATTCACGCCCCCCTGGTAACTTAAAGTACTTGGATAAAGTAGGAGAAATTTCGTGGTCCATAATGCTGTTCCTGTTGCTTTGCGGGGAGGGGGGGGGCAGGCAATTAAACTGATTACATTAGCTGATCCTTAACGAGAATCCCCACTGAGATAGATCGATCCTGCTAATACACTGCACGTTAACTTCTATTCTGAACACAGTCATAGGTTTCAAAGTATGAATTGGGAAAACATTAAGCTTTGAAGAAAATGTAAACATAAAGAATATGACGTTGGGAAATTTTGTAACGCGTCCAGTATATTTTTTTAATTTACAGTCGGAGGTGCTCTGTTCTAAGCTACGTCTGTACATGTTGTGTATTTCATATCGTGATAGGCCTTTGTGAACTTAGCATCTACTCTTATGCACTAATTTAGAAACTGGGCATACTATCTGGATATAAAGGACAATATTTTACAATTATCGGTATTTATTTTATATTGAATTTGAAAATGAAAAACATGACCCTAAGCCTGAGGCTCTCTTTGTTGTTTCCAACTATTTGTTTCAGACTTGCTAGATGTGATAGGTGCAATCAACACTGAGTAATAATTTGATTGTGGTAGGTGTGACAGAGAAGCACACCTAGCACTCTCTATGGAACATCCACATCTGGAGTATCACAGTGATGGTACAATGATATATTAATTTAACCCTCGAGAACTTTTCCCAATCTTTGTACAACTTTAAAAATATTTGGTAAAACAACAAACTTGTTTTATGTCAAAAAATATTATAAGTGTTAATTTCACAACGCTTAACACTTTGAGCTTAAAATCACAACAAACATGTAAATCACCATTCAATGTATTTATTTTATTATAAATATCAAGTTGATATTGGCTTAAAAGTACACACATGTACATCAATAATATACAAAATACAATATTTACATACAAAATTGTGCTCTCAAATTTTCTTCCCCTGCCAGAAACATCAACACCTTTCATTGAAAAGAAACTGTTAAGAGAACAACTAAAGTGTAGAACCTGTTAAAGATCACTGGTTTTCCATATCCCATGATCTGCGTATGCAGAATTACTAACAGTTAAACTTATTGATATTATGCATATTTTTCACAATTATGAAGATTTTATTATGACAAAAGAGGAGTACAATAAATCAATGTTCAGAAGGAAAGAAGTCTCTCATTCTTTACAATGGATCTTAAATGGTTTTGGTCACTTAATAAAACAATTTATAATTATTGTTTCAATAAATAATTCTGAAGTGAAATATTTTTTTTTCTATTAGGAATTTCCAGAAGCACTTGTCTTTTCTCAGTTTCTGAAGTGTGTGAACAGTTGTTTTTGACATTTACATATAACATTATTTTCATAATGTTTTCTCATCAGTTTTACCTAAAAGCCTCGATTTTTGCACCTTAACAAGTATGTCTTTACGTTTATTCTACATATAAATAACTACTTCTGCCCACCGGCCTCAAATACTCATTATCACATTTTATTTAGTTTTATTCAAAAGCCTTTGTTTCTGTAACCTGAAAATTCTTTGAGCCTGCTTGTAAATGAGCTTATCTGCCTCTAGGGCTTTCTCTATCCTGAAGTCATACCTCAAAACATTGGGGTCATTTTCATAATCGTAACCCTCATCTTCTGGCACCAAGGTTCTTTTGGGTTTTCTATTCACCCTGTTGTTATTGTCATCATCATGACTGAAATCCACCTGTGACTTGGCATTTTTGACTTTTTCACTGAAACATTTTGTAAAAGGCAGCTGCAGCACATGCTGGAAAATCTTTCCAGAGTTCTCCAGGTCTTCTTGCAGACCAACTGCAGCAAACCATTTTTCTAAGTTACGAACTATAAATGACGTTAGATGGAAAAAATCAGCATCAGAGATATTTTCCTCCATTTTCAATTTTTGTTTAAACCAGCAGGGTAAATCCTCTTTGTCAGTCACATGTTTATATTTATGAGGAATATTTTCTACATTGGCATCACAGTAGTTGCCATGGAAACTAAGCTGGTGCAGCAAATAATTCCCATGATGCACTGTCCATTGCAGTAGCGTTACCTTCTTGGCATCGAGTAGACTGCACACAGGGTGAGATCTCTCTCGTTTGCATAATTCATAAGTCCTTATTGCACGTTGGAAAGGGTCTTCTATAGTGATAAAGTATGCACATTTTTCTTTGCCTCTGCCTTGACACAGCCCAAAAGTGAAATCCCCCACATGGAATTTGAAATCTTGGTCAGTTTTGTCCAAGTTTCCTCTATTGTTCCTCCTTTCCCACTCGGCTCTAGCCTCACTGTCAACAAAATCAGAAACAGACAATTGCTTCTTTTCCACAATCTTTTTAATGCATTCCGATACCCCCTTGTTTCCAACATAAACCATTGCACTTTCCCTATAAGCATAACTGTTTTCCAAAGCATCTCTTTCATCTTGCAAGAAGAAATTTGGCAATCCATCTGTGTAATTAACCCAAGAAAATTTTTCATTGATTGTAATATTTATCAAATATTCTTCTCGCCTCTCCATAATTTCTTGCTGGCGCTGTGCCCTGTTCAGTGAATCCAGGACCTTCTTTACACCCTCTTCACTGTGCCTGCAAAGAACAAAGTAAAATATTTAGTATATGTATACTATATATCCTCATTATTGCTGTATTAATTTATTTGTCTATTCAATTGTCATGTCTATTTTACATTTAAATTTTTCTCTTAATCTTGTTTATGAGTTACTGCAGCAGCAACTTTGCTAGCTTGTGTAAGAAATGCCCATCACAATAAAGCCATATGAACCAAAAAGAATAGGGTGCAGCTTATTTTTTACCAATCATCAAAAAAGAAAAAAAAAAACATGGAAATACTAAAAGAAGAAAGAGTGCATCTGGTAAGGCATTTGACATAGCAAACATTTAGCTAGTGATTATCATTTCATCCTGATGGATTTACAAGTTCCAAGATTCAGGGTGATCTCTGAAATTTTCGACGTCATAGCATCACCCTGAGGTTCAGGTTTAACCAGAGACTTCAACCAGTACCACCCCCACGGTGCAGTTGCAGGGGTGGATTTTTTTTTGGAACCCCCCCCCTCCACCCCCCCATCCCCCCGGTTCAGTTTCTGAACCTGTCCAATAAACCCCTTTTCATATTAAAATCTTGACTAGCTGAATCATAAAGCATACCACAAGGCACCATTTGCCCTCTAAAATACCAAAAGCTGCCCCTCCCCACACGCTAAGGGGGCAAGGGTCAGTTTTGCATCTGAGGCGTCATTTCTAAAAAACCAGACCTCCCCCTTCAAATAATCCTGGATGTGCCCTGGAGTAGTACTGACTGTGAAAATTTTCCAGTAGCCTCTGAAACTCAGGGTGAAAAGCACCTGTTTATTCATCAACTACATTACTCCTGTCCTTACAATACAGCCAGGGGCTTTCTCCCCTCAGTCAATATTATATCTGATTTATTCCAATTCAAACGGACTATTTACCAGAAGGATTCCGGCTGAACTCCCATGTGTATTCAAACAGGTGGGATGAATAGGGTTTGTTGTTTGGAGATGAAAGTAATACTTTGTTCAACATTTTTATACAGCTCAATGGGAGGCTTAATTGGGGTCCGTCTGAAAAGAGGGCGAGGCGGAGAGTTGGTTTGGAGGATCGTTGAAGCCCTCTCCAACCTGCCAGCGCCACGATGATGAGTGTCACTGACATGATGGTTGGTGTCATTGGCAGGTGCTCCGTGCTTGACAAGTGGGAAGGGGGACAATAAAACTCTGCGTCACCTTCAAGATGATATGTTGACAACAGGGACTAATAGATCAGTGATAAAATTTTAAGACCGATTCGTGAAAAAAAAAGCCTTATATTTTAAAAGAGAGTCAGCAATAAATTCACAATATTGCGCTACAAGTGCTCAAATTATCTTTTTTAATGATACTTTTCATGAGAGAAAGATGACAATAAATTCAAGGGCTCAGACTTTTATATGGATAATTTCTGTCAGAGAGAGATACCTGTACTAGTACATGTAGCAATAAATTCACAAAACTGCCTCAAGCACTCAAACTCTCTTCTTTATGGATAATCATTTTGATGTGTGTGCCTGTGAGAGATACAGAGATAGAGAGAGATGGCCATAAATATGCAAGACTGCATCACAAATACAAACTCATTTATTCTTAAGGGTTATTTTCCCTGTGTGTTCAAGAAAGATAAAAGCTGCACATAATACTAATAACTATGCCAGGTTTAAGAGAAAAAATAAAATAAAAACAATGAAAGTAATTCGTGAGCTGTATCCCCACCTTGCATTCTTGAGTCCGTCCTCCTCCCTGGGGTTCACTCCCAGCACAGTGAGCACCATCACAGCAGAGACAAGCAGACCTGGTTCTAACCAACTTCTACATAGCTGCATTGCTATTCTAGACCTGAAAGAAACCCAATGTTATTTTAATAACTACTATTTTGATTAAAATCAGGGAGGAGACTGCTATTTTGCGAATAAGTCAGGAAACATGGTTTGGGGTCCAGGGGACTGCCTAGGCCAATGAAATTTTTGGCTCTCAAAAAGTCTGAAATTTGCCAATAGGTGGGGAAAGCTCTTCCCTTGGTTATTTGTTATAATCTTTATATTTTGTTGCATTGATAAGTTTTGATATTTTATTAATTTTTTCTTTAAATAAATGAAAAAATGGTTATAGGCCTGGAAAAAAGAATGAATAAAACTTTATCACAGTATGTAATATAATTATCATGGCTATAGTCATTTTTTAATGACAAATATTAACTTCAGTGGCAATAAATTTTTTAAAGTATGGGAATTTAGCCTAAAACCTCTCATGGCAATCAGGTTTCTTCCTTGATGTTTAAGTCAAAATAACTTCACTTTTTTATTTATTATCTTTCTTTAAATTTCTTTTATGGGTTTAAACTATTCTGATCTTTGCCCATCACATGGCAATCAAGTTTTTTTTCTTCTTCTTTTTTTTTTTTTGAAGTTAAAGCCCACATGATTTCATTATTTTCTTTCTTTTCTTTTTTTCATTCAAACTATTCCAAATTTTTTTCTTTTTTTTTTTCATTAAAACAATTCCAATCTAACCCCCTGACTCACCTCCTCACGTGACTTTATCCCTTCATGGTTTTCACATCAGTTGATGCTGACACTGCCTCGAGGCTCTGAATCATCCCCCGTTACTTGGCATCTGTGAGAAATGAAAATAACCATAAGACAGGCTGAACTAGGTTTTTTCATTGTCTCTCCTGCAGAGGTGGTAAAAAGTTAACTGTACCTTGAACAGACTAACTGAATGTGTACTAGTATTTGATCAAGACATTTTAATATGAAGGGTCAATGCCTCAAGGAAAATCAACCTCAGTTGGTCTCTTAGGAAATGATTCACTTCTTTTTCTTGTAAGTTAATCCTAGAAAACTTTAAAAAATCAAGGAAAAAAGCCATTTAACATTTAGCTTTATTGTATGTTTATTCAAACTCCCAGAGACTCTCCCATTCTGTTGTCAAAATCGAGTGATCAAACAAAATCGGCATATTTATTCAGCATCATTTTTTTTTAAATCAGAGCTGCACAGAATTTTGTTGTTGAAAGTTGCACCCTCAAGTAATTTGTCTATGAGTGTTCCAAAACTTTGCAGATGAACTGATAAATAAAAAGCATCACTGCAGAAAAAAAGCATAATGAACACATTTAGCTCGATGCCCATTTTATTATATAACAACAAAATATTTAAAAAATCACCCATATTTTCAATGACATTGCTTTCAGCATTGCCCAATGACAACTGGTAAAAGAATATTGTTTTTCTTACAATACTGTAATACGTGCAGTAATCAGTTGAAACCAGTTGTCCAATCTGATAGTCTTCCAGGAACTACAGTCTACAGAGGCCAATTAAAAAAAAAAATCAAATCCAAATCAAGTCTACTATTTTGTTGTCCTGAAACAGTACTTTTTTTCAGACAAATCTGGTTCCAAAAATCACAACCCAATACATCCCTGCTGTTAAAAAAATATTATGAATTTTATTCAAACTGCTTCAGTTTCCTTTACTCATAAGGGACCATTCCCAGACCCTATCGTACTAAATGTGAAGCGATCAATCTCCAAAGGGGTTCTCACTAAATTGCAATCAACTTAAACGGCTTAGATGTCTGGAATGCCTACTGAAGCTGCTAGGAGGTAATTAATTATCCTTTAAATAGCAGCTTTGGTAGGTGTGCCGGACATCAAATCCGCATAAGTAGAAAGCAATTTAGCATGAAACCCCTAGGAGATGGATCGATCCTGTAGGATCTATCTAGGTATGGGAACCCAGTCTAAGTCTTCCTGTTCACCAAGGCTCTCTTCAAAACAGATCTAAAATAAAAGAAGATATCAGGCCACTTGGCCAAAAATATAAAGTCCACACTGAATCGAATTTGATTTATGTACACAAACTCATGTTTACACATTTCTCATGTTGGGTTAACTTGAGGGAGATAAAAAGACTCACTTTTTTTTTAGAAAAAGAAAAAAAGACCCCATCCTTAAAAGTTACCAGCTACAGAAAAAGCCCCCCCCCCCCTAAACATATAAACCACTATCTGGTTGTGATCACATCAGAACTAAGTCTACACATAAACCAACTGACATCACCTGGCTGTGATCACATCAGAACTAAGTGAGACTGCACATAAACCAACTGACATCACCTGGCAGTTATCACATCAGAACTAACACCCCATTTCCATAGATTAGATCGACCTACTTTAGATCGACCTAACTCCCTGGAGGTTCACGCTAAATAGCTGTCAGCCGGGCGGACACGAAAGTTAATTACCCCCTTACAGCTTGTAGTAGGCGGGAAGGACATTTAAGTCGGATTATCTGAAAGTAATCTAGTAATCTAGTGAGACTCCCCGCGGGGATAGATCGATCTAAAATCTATGGGAATAGAGCCTTTGTCTACAAATAAACCAACTGACATTCACAGTCAAAAAATAAAAATTGAAAATTAAAGCTTCTGGTACCAAATTTCACTTGTTCTATAACATCTTTATATATATATATATATATCTATAAATATTGATATTTTTTAAATTATTCCTGTAGCCTTATATTACCCACTCAGCAGTCTATGCTCATTCAAATGTGAACTAGACCCGTCTCTCCTCCCATATAATCACTCTATTAAACTACTGCTTTCTTCACAACACATATTAATGACACATATGATGTTTAAAAGCCCATTAAAAATCCACACCAGCAGGGTGTGCAGGGGTCCTACAGAGAATTTGTCGTCGCTGTAATTTTATCTTCCTCCTAAGCTGCAAGATCTCAGCTATTTTGTGTGAACTGCAAATCAGAAGTGACAGCTCTTACAGTTAAACAGGCGCTTTGGCGTAAACGGTGTTGGTCTGGCACAAATGGGGGACAATAGGACTGTACGCCAGGCGACCGCTTTCTCAGACTTCTCAGTCTTTAAGGAACCGAGGTAATTAGTCTCGTTAGTCACGAGTGGAGGAGCAAAGAGCTGTAAGAGGCGTTGCTACATGTTTGTATGTGCTGTAGGAGAGGGAGTAAACTCCATGAGCTCAAAGCTTGGCAAAGTTTCCATCTCAGAGATTATTCTTATGCAGACATGTGCCTGTTTTTTTTTTTTTCTGTTCTTTTCTTTTTTCAGAACATTTCTCATGAGACCAAACACTTCAACTTGACAAATCTCAGGATTAGCTCAAAGTTTTGGAATTCCTTGATTCTGCAGATCATGTCTAATTATGTCTGAAGAGATTCAAGCAAAAAAAAAAAAACTTTTTTTTTGTCAGTACAACATAATAAGGTTGAAGCATTTAAACCTGAATCTCGCCATCGTTACCTAAGCCTTGCATTAAAAGTACACTGATATTTTCAAAATGCCTCACTTTTCTAACATTTTATGGATTTTGCTGATTTATAAGATGACCATCTCATCACTTTCATTAAGTCTCTGACAAAAAAGTCAACTAAATTTTCCTAACTTGTGTCAACCTTATCATTTTTATTAACAAAGCATTTTTGAACAAAAAATAAATTTCATTTGAACTTTTTGAGAATTTAGCATATATTTATTCAAATCTATACTTACACAAAAGGAGGATTACGTAAATTAAAGCGTACTCTATTGAGTCAGGTGGGGTCAAGGTTACAGGACACAAAACATTGAAAGTACTAGTACTTAAGAAAAATAAAAACAGCTGTAATTTTAGACATGAACGATGTTGACATATCCCTAGTAAATAACATGTGTTCACACTTATATCTGTCATAATTTGTCAATTTTACAAATTTCGGAACAACATGTCAACTAAATCTCTCACCCTTTTTTCCGCTCACACTGTCAACAGCTGTTTCAACCAGAAAACGTAAATCTAACTTCACACTGAGAAAAAATTCTCGACTGTCTACCATGTCAGTATAGTTCCCTCCCCTGCTGTTGTGAACTGTTAGCTAACAAAGGCATGCTTTCAAAGTTCTGAACTCTTATTACAATGAAAATGTTGAAGTTGTTTTTGAGTTTTTCTTACCATTTTTCTCCTCACTCTTTCAGAATATCTCTTTTCCATTCTCTCTTTTCTGCTTCTCTCCTTCCTTCCATGACCAACAGTCATATAACTCTCTAATAATAACTCTCACTTTTTCTTTCTTTTCATAATTATCTTCTTTCTTTCCTTCCTTTTTGCTCCTTTATTTTTTTTTTACCAAATATGCTTTTCTTTTACCAAATATTACTTTTCTCAATTCTGACTACAAAACCACCATCATCAGCAAAACCAAAGAAATCAACAAAGCATTGCATCATTTCTACCTAAGATCTATTAGATTTTATACCAAACTGTTTGTCTGTGTTGTTCTGATCTATTGGTGACTAACACATTTTGCATACTTATGTGAAGAAAACAAGACCAGAAAAGCATACAAAACTTTCCACTTAATTCTGGAAAACTGACACAATCTCACAAACTGAAAACACACATTATGAAGTCATTGAAGATAGTAACTTGAAGTATGCATTTTAATAACCTTTTGATTTCATTACAGACTGGCTTACAGCATACAATTACGGTTGGCAGAATGATTCTCCTGACTTAACTATAAAACATAATATATAATAATGTTATTTCCTTTAAACATATTCATAAAACCAAATGAAAAGATCATTCAAATTTAGAAATGCACAAAATTCCATTTATTAATTGAAGAACTGCTGACTGGCAGACTTAGCTTGGTTCTAAGTAGACTAAAATTTCATGTCAAAGTTAGACAGGGCTATAGTTTGTCAGTAAAGCAGTCCAAGAGTTTATGCTTTACTAAAATTAACTATCTAAAGTTATGGTTTTAAAAGTTTCGAATATCTCATTTTTATTGGTAACCTAAATTTTCTTGAATCTTCATTTCTCACATTTTCTGACTTGACTCCTGCATCATTTCAGAATGCAGAATGTTTCAAAAATCTTTTGTCAAGCATGACCAAAAAAAAATTGTTTTATTTTTTTTTTCAAAATTCATTCACATAAAATACACAGTATAACAACTGTATACACGGCTCTCTAAACAACAATAACGTTCCAACTGAAGATTGGCATTTTGGCATTAACTATAAAAAATATTAAATAACAAGCTAATACATCCTAGATGTTGTGTAACTGACAGCATGAAGTTGCATTCATCAGCTCTAATCCCACTGACTACGCACCGCTATTTTTACCAATACATCACAGTACTTACATAAGTACTCCAAATGAGAATTGGCATTTTGACATAATCTTAGAAAGCAAAAAAAGAGATGGGGAAAATCTCAAGTGGATTTCTTTCTCAGTCAGCAGTTAATGGCTCTGACATTTGTTCTGAAGGACTACCTGCCAGTGTCGGGGTGTCAGCAATTGATAAAATGACGGCTGACAAATAAATCATATCACTGGAGAATGTTGGAAAATAGTGGAGAAAATTGGAGGGAATATTTCTTAGGCTCTGAGTCTCCTCCCCCCCCCCCCAGCCCCTTACTTAGTACACATTTCTATAATCAGCTTGAATTATATTGATTTATTTATCTATGAAATAATATATTGTGGTTCAATACACTTCTATTCCACCTCCATTATATTATGAAAAAAATGCTTTGAAAAAATAAGATAATAAAAATGCAAAATTGGTCATTCTGCCACTCCTGATCAGACAAAAAACAGACATTTTTTCCTTCTGCACTTTCCGAAGAAAATGAATATGAGGAGAAAAAAATTTCAAAATAATTCTGCCAGATTTTGCACATGCATTAAGAGTCATATCTAAGAAATCGCCCTGGGGTTCAAACCTAGGATCAAACACATTTTATAGCAAAATCCCCTTGCTGTGCTCAGTGTCAATAGCAACAAACACCTAAAACCACACGGGGATATTCAGGGTACAAGAAATCGCCAATTATCTTGTCACTTTCTCAAATTACATGCCAGAATCAGTAAACCCAATGAAAACTTTCACTCAGAGATGTTAGGCAATAAGCAGAGATGTTAACATGAACCAATGATGTAAGATGAGAAGAAATGAGAAGAAAAAATATCAACCTCCTACTTGGATATTGAATCATTAAAAAAAATATAGTCATTTTTCTGCCATTTGTTCTGATGTGTAACAACCTCTTATAACATTGACAGTCCCCTGAACACTAAAGGTATGTATTCTGTATGAGGGAATGATAGTTTATCAAGAAATAAGATGAAAATTACCAGAAATTATGGCCAAGCCCTTAGACATTTCCATATAATACCATTAAACATTCACCGTCACTTTTCTAAATTTTTTTCTCACTGTTAATAACCAAAGCAACCATTTATCAGCAGCTCAAAACGAAGTGAAAATAACAAAAAAAGACTTGCTCCCAGGCCTACATTTCATACAGAAAACCACGGAATCCACCGCAGGTTTTCCTCACTGCTAGTTTTGGCAGATGTCAACTAGCATGAGTAATTGCTAGGAAGTGGGAAGAAACACTGGCGTCTTGGCACTGATATCGGCTTAAAGAAGGATCTTTCAGAAGCCTCTTGCGTAAGTTTGAATGATAGCAATGTTATTCAGAGCCTCTAACACAGGTTCTAGGTAGAAAAAAAAAAACATGGACCTTTTTTCTAATAATCTAAATTTGGTAAGTTTGAGTGATTAGCATTCAGTACATGAAAAAAAAAATATGGAGCATTTTTATGACTAATTAAATCTGTTTGGCAAGTTTTAATTCCTAACTGCTTTAATTTCTAGAAGAGCCTCTTGCACATGCCCTTGGAGACAGAAATAAAGTAAATATGTGAAAAGGAATAATGTTACAATGTAGAAATGTTACCCAGAGCCTCTTGCACATACCGTGCTAGAGATGTAATATACAATGAAGGCATAATGACAACAACAGATCCAAATTCCCGGTAATATCAGGGAAATAGTGGCATGGACTAGTTGAATGTGGTCTTAGTCCACGGATCACTTGTTCTGATCAATACTGTCCAAGTGACCTTTAAGACTTAGACCCCATTCCCATACCTGGAACGATCTAGCTTGATCGGCCCATCTACCACGGGATTTTCGCTGAATTGCTTTCAGCTTACTGAGTAAGCAGCTCTGAAGTCTTAACAAGAATCCCTGCTGAGATATATCAATCCTGCTAGTACGATCAGGTTATGGGAATGCAGTCTTAGACCAAATTCCCATAGATTTTAGATCGATCTATCCCTGTGAGGAGTCTCACTAGGTTACTGTCAGCTTAGCCGGCTTAAGCGTCTGTCCCGCTTACTAAAAGCTGTAAGGGGGTGCGCACTCGGCTGACTGCAATTTTGCGTGAACCCCCAGGGAGTAAGGTCGATCTAAATCTAAATCTCTGGATCGATCTAAATCTCTGGAAATGCACCCTTACTTATAACTTTCCCATGTCCTCTAAAACTCACAGTGACCACTGTAGACTTACCTTCAAATAAATCAGCTAAATTTTGGGGCTAAATTTTTAGACCAGCTTTCAGGCTGGAGTCATTTTGTCAACCCAGCCTCAGGTGTTACGACTCTCTACTACTACCAGCTTTGTCTTGTCACCACACCACAGGTTACATGTAATTTCCCTTTGCCTACTCCCTTCTATGTACAGTTATTGATTTTCTCTCCCAAGATATTAAAAACATTTAAATCCATTGCATTCACCGGCAGTCGTGAGGTAATGAAACCAAACAAAACAAGACAAATGACTGGAATACCTCCACTGAAAGGGCAGACTATTTGTTTTGGATTACTGAGAATGTTTGAATTTTACAGATCCAGCTGAGATTAGGACTGGGTTCCCATCCCCAGATTGATCTAACAGGATAGGTCCAACTCCACAGGGTCCCTCGCTAAATTGCTTTCAGCCCAAGCGGCTTCTAAAGACATCTGGGGCATCCACTAAAGCTGCTAAATGATAGTTAATTACCCCCTATCAGCCTCAGCAGGCGTGACAGACATCTAAGCTGCCCAAGGTAATTGCAATTAAGCGAGAATCCCCTTGGAGATAGTTCGATCCAATGTTAGTATGATAGTCTCTGGGAGTGGTCCCTAGGTCTGAGATGTCCTTGAATAGAGTCTCCTGTTTCACAGCTTTTGCAGACATGATTTTTGGGCTGTAATAAAAACTACAAAGAAATGACTTGGTGTTCTTATATTATTGCCAGGGCTCTGGGGCTCTTTGAGACTGATAAATGTCGAGAAAATTTTGAATTTCTGCATTAAATTTTTGCTTTTATTTAGTAGTTTGCTGAACCGTAGTTGACATGCAGGGACTGTTGGATAATAAATAATTTAAATAAATAAATAAATACCATAATAAACATGAAGCTATATTTCTTAATGCTGTCCACATCCCAGATAGCAAGCATACGTTGGGCCAACGTTGGCCCAACGTTGCCTTGGTTGACCGTGCAACGTTGGCCCAACGTTGGGTTTCCATCTAAGTGCTCACTTTGGCCAACGGTTGGCTGAACGTCTTTTGAATGCCAACGTATTGCCAACGTATTCCCAACCAAACTGCGTTGGCCCTACATTGGGCCAACTAATAACCAACATTGGTCCAACAATTTCCCAACCTGCAACCAACATCAGTCCAACAATTACCCAACCAAACCGCGTTGGCCCTACATTGGGCCAACTAATAACCAACATTAGTCCAACAATTACCCAACCTGTAACCAACAGTGCATTTACGTTGGTTCTACTAATAACCAACATCAGTCCAACAATTACCCAACCTCAAACCAACAATGCATCCCCGTTGGCCCAACGGTAGGCCAACTGGTCACCAAGTTATCTGCAATTTGCACAACAAATTATGGCCCAACCTAAAGCCAGAGGCACGGTGATTTACAGTGACCCAACATTGAGCTGAAGGCAAAATAACTTTTTTGGAATCACATAGGTAGTAGGGCACTGTAATTACACGTCTGATGCACAGGCAGATCAATGTCCTGATGAAATATCTTGAGCATCTGAAATCTGCAAACTGCAAGATATGACTGAAAAATTAGAAAGCTTTCTAAGGGATGAATCCTTCAGAGGACTTGATCTGCCTGTGATCATTTACACTACACCTGGAAAATTGTCAATTAATAATTGTGGTTGAAACAAAAAGATTAGTGATATGTTTTGAACTGTTTAATTAATTCATAACATTACATAAAACAAATACCTTATACCAACTAAATAATGATATGTGAATTGAAATATAATACAAAAAGACAACAAAGAAAAATTTTATAAGATACTATAATATTAAATTTAAACATTAATAAGTGTGTCTTATATCAATTGTTACATGATTCACATCAAGAAAAAATATTACAGTCCTACGACTTATGACCTTATTCGTGGAGTCAAGGCATTTTTCTACTAGTAGTCTTTTTTGCCTCATTTCAATTTTTAAAAATATTTTCATTAAATCAAAATTTAAACCAGAAACCCTTGTCAATGTCAGGTAAGATGCTTTTTCATAAGTTATATGTCAAGTCTATAAAATCACAGTCTCTTCCTTCAGGCAAAATCTCAGACATTGTCTCTTTAAAAATCAAGTCAGTGGTCATATGAGTTCAATCTTTGTGTTTTTCTCTCTTTCCTGCCCTGCAGGCACCTGTGTGATCTTTGGCAAAGCACAATTAGTTGGATGTA